CCCGTCGGGCGCCGCCTCGCGGAGCGCGACGTCGGCGACGTCGAGCGTCGTCGCCCACGCGCCCCCCGTCGACCGCCGCGCGTAGCGCGCGCCCGCGACGGCGGCCTCGCGCCCGCCCGCGCGCGCCGCGATGCCGTCCAAGGTGACCTCGAAGGCCTCGAGCTTCGACGGCGGCGCGCCCGCCGGCGGCGCGTCGTCCCAGCCGAGCGCGCGCTTGACGCACGCCGCCGCGACGCCAAAGTCGCGGACGAGCGCGTCGCCCGTGGCGCAGGCGGCGACGGCGCCCGACGACTTGACGTGGAGGTAGCGCCGCGTCTCGTCCGGCGACGTCCAGAGCTCCGCGGATTCCAGACCCGCGACCGCGAGGCCGCCGCCGCCGGCGAGTACGGTCCCCGCGGCGTCGCCCAGAGCGGCGTCGACGGACCGCGCGAGCCAGCGGCCCCGGTGGCGCCGCCCGGCGTAGTCGTAGTCGTAGGCGACGTCGCCCCGGACGTCCAGCGCGAGCGCGGCGCCGCCGCCCGGCGCCGGGAGCGCGACGCGCGCGCGCGCGATCCGGAGCCCGAACGCGTAGTCGCCGTGTTCCGCCGGCGGCGCGTCCGGCGCGTCGAAGGCGCCGTCTTCTGTTCGCCGCTCGTGGTCGAAGCCGAACCAGTCCCGCAGGGGCCACCAGTGGCCGCCGTCCCAGACGAGCGCGGAGTCGGCGAGCGACAGCGTCGTCGCCGCGGGGCCGACACTGAGCTCGAAGGCCGGGCCGCCGCCGGCGCCGAGGGGCCGGGCGATGGCCGCGCCGTCGCGCGTCACCGTCGCCGTCGTCGCGGCCAGCGCGAAGGTCACGCCGCCCGCCGCGCGTCGGACGGAGCACGCGAGGCCCGCCGCGTCCAAATCGCCCGCGGCGGGCGCGCGGAGCCGCGCGGCGCCGCGGTCCGCCGCGATGCGGAGCGAGAAGGGCGGCCCCGGCGCCGCCGCCGGCGGCTCGTCGCCGCCGGCGACGTTGCGCCAGAGGGCCGTGCGCAGGAGCTCGTAGTCGCGGCGCGCGAGGTCGCCGCAGTCGAGCGCGTCGCAGCGCACGTCCGCGGCGACGCCGTCGTCGCCCGCGGCGACGCGCGCCTCGAGGGACGCGCCGAGGGACGCGAGGGCCCGGAAACCGTTGCCGTGGGACGCCGAGAGCCGCGGCTCGCGCGCCGCCAGGGTCGCGGCGCCGCCGGCGAGCTCCGCGGCGACGTCGCGCGCGTCGAGCCGGAGGCGCCGCGGCGACGCCTCCGCCGCGGGCACGGTCACGGCGAGGGTCGCGACGCTGAGCGCGCCGGCGACCGGCGCGCCGCCGCCGCCGGGCGGCGGCGCGAGGCCCGCGGCGACGTCCGCGACGAACGACCACGCAGCCGAGACGTACGCGACGTCCGCGGCCGCGGCGTCGCAGGACGGCGCGCGCCCCGCGCCGCCGGCGACGGCGACGCCCGTCGCGACGACGAGGTCGCGCGCGCCGGCGCCGTCGCGCCAGGCCGCGCGCAGCGCCGCGCGCGCGGCGCCGCCGCGGTACGCGCCGCCGGCCGCCGCGTCGAATCGGACGTCCGCGCACTCGAGCGCCGCGCTCGTCGCGCCCCGGTGGAAGGCGGCGGCGACGCGCGCCGCGGAGCACCGCAGGGCCAGCGCCGGCGCCGGCGCCGCCGGCGCGGGCCGGAACGCGCGCGCCGCGCGCGCGAAGTCGGCCGCGGCCGCGGCGTCGCCCGCGAGCTCGACAACGCCCAGCGCGACGTCGAGGAGTTTTCCCGGCTCGTAGGACGCGACGAGGGCCGCGGGGTCGCCCGCGGGCCGCAGGGCCACGCACGGCGCGCCGGCCGCGGCCGCGCGCGGGCCCGACCTGTGTGGAATGCAACCGCCGGTTTGGGCGGTCCTGACCAAACTTCAGAATTCTCTAGCTCGGTCACATCGAAGTGGATTCGGCTGACTTTTGGACGAATCGATGGCTCTCGTCGAGTTCTCGAAGCACGGCCGAAGAGCGTGCGTCAAAACTGTCGCATATGCGCACATTGAAGTCGGGTTGAAGATTTGAATTCCACGCGGGGCCCGACGCGCGCGCGTCCGCGTCGCGGACGCGGACCGTCGCGGGCCCGCCCGCGGTCCTCGCGACGTGGACGCCCCGGGCGGCGCCGGCGACGCAGAAGGCGGTCGCGTCGCCGTAGTCCGACCCGCCGAAGAGCGTGACGTCGACCGCGCCGACGTCCGCGCGGAGCTCGACGGCGGCGCCGCCGCCGCCGCCGGCCGGCGCGATTTCCGCGAGCGTTTCCGAGAGCGCCGCGACGAGCTCCGGCGACGCCCGGACGTCGACGGCCTCGCAGCTCAGCTTGCCCCGCAGGCTCGCGGCGGCCTCGGCGTCGAGCTTGGCGTCGCGCGCGGCCACGACGGCCTCGCCGCCGACTTCGACGGCGACGCGCGAGAACGCGAACGCGCCGCCGAACTTGCCGTCGACGTACTTGGCCTTGGCGCGGCTGCCCCGCTCGACGACGAGGGCGACGCCGCCGACGCCGAGGCGCAGGCCCGCCGCGCAGCGGACCGCGGCGTCGACGCGGTCGAAGGCGACGCGCGGCGGCGAAGAGCGCGCCGCGGGCCGCGCCCAGCCCCGCGCGAGGGCCGGCGGCAGTTCCTCGTCGACGTCGCCGAGGACCTGCGCGTCGACGTCGAGCCGCCGGTCTTTGAGGGTTGCCGTCGCCGCGAAGACCGCGCCGTCGCCGCGGCGCCCGGAGCCGCGCGCTGCGACGGACGCGGCGCCCGATTTCAGCGCCCAGTCGTCGCCGCGCGACACGGCGCAGGCGAGGGACGCGACGAGGCCGCCCACGCTCCGCTCGGCGTCGTCGTCGCCGGCGAGGACGCCGCAGCGCCGGCAGTCGAGCTCCGCGGCGACGGCGTCGTCCTCGCCGCCGCCGCCCGCCGCGTAGCGGACCGCGGCCGTCGCGACCTCGGCGCTCGCGCAGCGCGCGCCGAGGGCGACGGAGACGCCCCGCGCGCGGGCGTCGACGCGCGCGACGGCGCCCGCGCGGTCGCCCGCGGCGGCGGCGCCGAGGCGGTGGAACGTCGCCGCGGCGAGCCGCGCGCCCGGCGGCGGCTCGCGCGCGCGGCGCGCGCGCGGCGGCCGCAGCGACAGGTCCGCCGTCGCGTGCTCCACGGCCAGCGAGCCGACGCCCGCCGCGGCGAGGCGGCAGCGCCGCAGCGTCAGCCGGCAGTCGCGCGCGGCGACGGCGGCGGCCCACGCGAGCGCGTACGACGCGACGGCGACGAGCCGCTCGAGCCACTCGGCGCGCGGCGCCGGCGCCGACGGCGCCGGCGGTTTGTTGTCGAGCGACGCGTCCGCGGCGTCGAGCGACGCGTCGCTGACTTCGACCTCGAGGAACGGTCGCGTCGGTGAGAGCAGGGCGAGCCAGGAGAAGATGACGCGCAGCGCGCCGACGCGGCTCTTGCCGCGTTCCAGGTCGCGGACGGAGAGCTCGACGCCATCCGTGTTGACCGAGATGCGCGTGCGCTGCCAGAGAGACTGCATGCTAGTGCATTATTGATCGTGCGACAGACAACATGCTTGCTTGCTCCGATGAGCCCGAGAAGCAGCAAACTGCACCGTGTTGCAGTCTTGTTGCATCGCTATCGCCTTTGTTCAGCCCTCGGCGGTGTGGCTCACGCTCCGCACCAAATTGCAAGCAAAGCGGCCGCGCCACACCTCACCTCGCAACCATGGTCTTTTTCGTGTGCGAGGACTGTAACGAGACGCTGAAGCGCTTGAAAGTCGCGGCGCACCTCTGCAAGTGCTCGTGCAGCGCCATCACCTGCGTCGACTGCAACAAGTCGTTCTACGACGACAGCTACCTGCAGCACTCGACGTGCATGAGCGAGGCGGAGCGCTACGAGGGCCACCTCTACCAGGCGCCGAAGAAGCGGAGCGCGCAGGACGCGTGGTCCGACGTCGTCGAGGGCTCCGCGGGCGACGGCGCCGCGCCGGCGGAGCTCGCGCCGCTGCTGCCGCGGCTCGCGGCGCTCGACAACGTGCCGCGCAACGAGAAGAAGTTCAAGAACTTCGTCGGCAACTCGCTGAACCTCCGCGACGCGGGCCTCGTCGCGCGGCTCTGGGCGTACCTCGCCGCGAAGCGCGACGCCGCCAAGGCCGCCTTCGACGCCGCGGCGGCGGCGGCGCCCGCGGCGGACGCGGCCGCGCCCGCGAAGGCATCCGAGCCCGAGAAGGAGGCGCCCGCGGCCGCTGCAGCCGCGCCGGAGAAGGCGCCCGCGCCCGAGAAGGCGTCCGAGGCCGACGCGAAGGCCGCGAAGAAGGCGAGAAAAGCCGCGAAGAAGGCCGCCAAGGAGGCGGCGGCCGCCGAGGAGGCGGCCGCGCCGGCCGAGAAGCGCGCGGCCGACGACGACGACGAGGCCACCGCGCGCGCGGAGAAAAAGGCGCGGAAGAAGGCGAGAAAGGCCGCGCGCGAGGCCGCGACGGATCCGCCGGGCTCGCCGCTCGAGAAGAAGAAGGCGAAGAAGGCGAAGCGGGAAGCCGCGTAACGTGGCGCTACTCGCCCTCGTCCGCGCGCGCGATGTGGGAGAGGAGGCTCTCGAGTTTGTCGGCCGTCGACGGCTCGTCGGGGAACGCCTTCGCGGCGAGCGCGACGAGCGCGCGGGCGAAGGTCGAGTGGCGCATGAGCTTCTGGGCGGGCTGGTCCGAGCTCCAGAGCTGCTGGGCGCAGAGCTTGGCGTGCATGATCTCGAGGTCGGCCTTGAGGATGTTCCCCGGGAGGTCGAGGAGCCCCGCGTCGCGGCAGAAGCGGACCCACTGGCCGGATCCCATGCCCTTCTCCGGCTTGAGGAGCGCCGCGGCGTAGAGGCGGCGGCAGCGGTCGAGGAGCGTCAGGTCCCGCGGCGGCGCGGGCGCGCCGCCGCCGACGATGGCCCGGAGCGCGGGGTCGCGCGCGCCCTCGGCGACGAGGACCATCATGTCCGAGAGCACGCGCGTCTTCACGTAGAGGTCCACGGGCGACTCCTCCTTGACCGTCTCGCCGTCGACCTCGACCTCCTGGTCGATGGCGAGCGACGGGTTCGAGTTGACCTCGATGAGCCGCGGCACGCCCCGCTTGTCGAGCATGACGTCGAGCCCGAGCACGTGGAACGCGCGCCGCGCGTCGTCGCCGGGCTCGCCGTCGTCGCCGCGCGGCGCCGCCGCGGCGCCGAGCGTCTCCTTCGCCGCCGCCGGGAACGTCGACCGGTAGCGGAGCGCGAGCTCGGGCTGGAAGGCGAAGGCGACGAGCGCCGAGAGCCGCTCGATCTGCGCCCAGACCGTCGGCGCGTCGATGAGCCCCTTGGCGTCGAGCTCCTGGATCACGTAGGACGCGGGCCGCTTCGACGCGCCCGCGAAGGCCTCGCGGTCCGCCGCCGCCGCGACGTCCGTCGCGTTGACGTACGCGTCCGACCGCTTGTTGAGCGAGTAGTTCGTGAGGTGCGCGTAGGCCCGGTGCAGGTTGTCCGCCGTCGGCGGCGCGTAGGGCTCCGTGCAGAAGCGCGCGAGGCCCTCGCGGTGGAGGTAGACCTCGAGCGGGTCCACGGACCGCACGAGCGCGTAGAGCCGCAGGTCGAACTTGACGCCGTCGTAGAGCAGGGGGCTCACGTAGGTCTGCGCGACCGCGGGCTTCGCCGCGAGGTAGCCCGACGCCGACGGCAGCCGGCTCTCGTGCTGGATGAGGACGATGCCGTTGCCCTCGGAGCCCGCGGCGGGCTTGAAGATGACCGTCGGCGGCGCCGCGCCGCGCCGCTGCGCGGACGCGCGCCGCTTCTTCACGTGCTCGAAGAGCTCGTCGCGGGCCTCGGGCAGGAGCCAGGTCCGCGGGAAGAAGGACCCGGCGCCGGGCCCGAGGCCCGCGACGCCGGCCTCGCGGCACCGCGCGAGGCACCGCTCCGTCTCGGCCTTGTCCGCGAGCTCGCGCATGCCTGGGCAGCACAAGGGTGATTCAACGTCGCTTCAACGTGAGTGTTCCGCGCGCGCGCGTTACGGAAAACACATCCACGCTTCGAGACCGTTCCGAGAGATGATCGCTCGTCCAAAAATCAGCCGAAACGAGTGGAAAATGGCCGAGATCGGAGCCTTTGAAGTTGGGAATTTCGCTCTCTTGTGCTGCCCTGGCGCATGCCCTCGAAGCGGCTGATGATCTGCCGGGGCCCGAGGGTGCCGGCCACGGTCTCGAACTTGCCCGTGGCCCGGATGCTGTCGATGGCCTTGGACACCCAGACGATCTGGCAGCTCGCGCCGAACCTGGCCTCGGCGCGGGGCTCCTCGCGCCAGTCGGGCAGGCCGTCGATGCACCTGCGCACGAGGTCGACGTTGCCCGGGTGCTTCGCCGTCCAGACCTTGACCGTCGCGCCGCCGTCGTCGCCGCCGTCGTCGCCGCCGCGGCGCCGGCGCCGCGCGCGGCGCGGCACGTTGCCGGCGATGGACCACAGAGCGGACACGGCCGCGTCCGTCGGCGCCGGCGCGGACGACGCGCCCGCCGACGACGCGTCGCTGCCGTCGTCGTCCTCGTCGCTCTCCTCCGACGCGTCGCCGGGGTCCGCCGCGGCCGCCGGCGCCGCGGCGGGCCGCGGCGACGCCGGCGGCGGCGGCTCGACGGCCTCGGGCAGCGACGCGGGCAGGAGCTTGGCCACCGCGGCGAGGGCCTCCGGCGACGCGGCGATGGCGTCGAAGATGGCGAGCTTCTCCCCATCGCCGAGGCTCGACGCCGAGGCGGCGGCGCCCATACGAATGCGCTAGCGCGAGAGAGAAAGCACCATCATGCGCTAGCCCAAAAAAAAATCATCCGTTTTTGAAGGGCTAGTGCAGTGCAACTTTCCGAACTAGCTGCCCCGCACTCCGAAGGACCTGGGACACCTCGTCGGGGAGGAGCCGCCGCCCCCCGCGCGCCCCCATGGACTGGGGCGCGTCGCCGTCGAGCTGGACCTGCGGCTTCTCCGAGTACACGTGCACGCCCGGCAACGGGGCGACGGACCTGCGGGACTGCCCGGCGATCTACGAGGACTCCATCGTCGTCGCGCCGCGGGAGATGCGGTCCGAGTCCGAGAAGCGCTTCGAGGCGCTCATGGGCGAGGGCGGCGGCGACGCCGCCGTGCCCGTCGCGGCCGTCGAGCACCTCGAGGTCGGCGACGCCGCGCCGCGCGCGACGGCGATCGCCGTGCCGGACGGTCCGCCGCCGCGCGCGGCGCCGCGCGGCGCCTTCTTCGCGAGCGTCGGCGCCATGGCCGAGGACGCCGCGGCCTTCCGGGCCTGGCGCGACGACCACTTCCCGCGCCAGGCCCGCGCGCCCGCCGTCGTCCCGCCCGATTTCGCCGCGTTCTGCCGCGGCCACGACTTCGCGACGCGCGGCGCCTACGACGCCTTCGTCGCCGCGGGCGGCTGGGCCGCCTACCCCGGCGCTGTCTGCGCCGCCGTGGAGCTCGACGATCTGTGGGAGGTCGACGGCGGCTTCCGAGTCGCGGGGCGCGTCGTCGTCTCGCACTACGACGGCCGCGTCGCCGCGGAGCTCGACTCGCGCAAGCTGGACCGCGTCGCGCCCGCGGCGCCGCCGCGCCTGGCCCTCGCGAACGCGCGGCCGGCGGCCTGCGACCTCGCGGCGGCGCCGGGCGACGACGACGCGCGGTCGCCGGTCTTCGAGCGGGCCTACGCGCTCCCGGCCGGTCTCGAGCTCGCGGCGCCGGGCGACGGCGCCCAGTTCCCCTTCGACGTCGCGACGCCGGCGCTCCGCGTCGCCCTCGACGCGGACCGCGCGGCCGGCGCGGCCGCGTTCTGGCTGCCCGTGGGCGGGTCGCTCGCGCTCAACGCGCGGCTCCGCGGCTGGGACGTGCGCGCGCCGGCGCTGGCCGTGGCGGACAAGGTCGGCGACCGGCCCGTCCTGACGCTGCGCCTCGCGCTCTCGCGCCGCTGGCGGCCCCACGCGGCGGCGGCCGCGGCGCTCGCGGGCGCGTCCGCGCTCGCGCTCCTGCCCTACGCGGTCCGCCCCCACCGCGTCGCGCCGCGGCTCGTCGCCGGCTTCCTCGCGCTCCTCGCCGTCGCCGCCGCGCGCGCCGCGGCGGCCGCGAGGCGGCCGCCGGCGGCCGCGCGCGCGACGGCGCTCGACGCCTACGGCGCCGCGTGCCTCGCCTTCGCCGGCGCGACCTGCGTCTCCCACGTCGCCGTCCGCGCGCTCCCCGGCGGCGCGCGGGGCGCCGCGGACGCCGCGAGCCTCGCGGCCTTCGCCGCGGCCTGGGCGCTCGGCCACGCGGCCGTCGCGCTCCGCGCGCGGCGCCGCGCGGCGGCCGTCGCCGCGGCCTTCGGCCCCGCGTGGGACCAGGCCGAGCTCCTCGCGCCCGGCGCGGCGCCGCCGGACCACGTCGCCGCGCGCACGCGGCTCCCGCCCGTCTTCCCCGTCTAAGGCCGGACGCGTCGGCGGTCGCGCGCGCCCCGGGCCGCCGCCGGCCGGCGGGATGCGCGCGGCGTCGTCGAGCTTTGCGCGCGCCCCTCGCCGCCGCTGGTCGGCGGGATGCGCGCGGCGTCGTCGAGGTCCGACGGCTCCGGGCGCGAGGCGCGCGCGCGCCCCGTCGTCCCCGCCGCCGGGCGTGCGCCGCCCTTACGTGTCGCGCGCCCCTAGCCGCCGCTGATGGGCGGGATGAGCGCGACGTCGTCGAGGTCCGACAGCTCCGGGTCCTCGTCGTAGGGCACGTAGGCCTCGTTGATCGCCATCGGCGTGTCGAGCGCGCCCTCCCCCAGGAGCAGGAACTTGTCCTTGAGGTGCGCGCGGAGCGTCGACGTCCGCGCGCCGACGGGGAGCTCCGCGACGTACCTGTCGCAGCCCGCCATCTCGCGCGCCGACGCGAAGAAGAGCACCTTGACCTTGATGGTCGGGCCCGTGAGCGGCGGCGGCGTCGGCGCGTCCATGCGCGCCAGGGCGGCTTCGACGATGTCGGACATGGCTGTGTTCGGCGTCGACCTGCAACCGCGTTGGTGCGGTTCGAGGCGCGCGCGCCTCGGAGAGCTCGACGCGCTACGGAGAGGCGCAGCAGGTCGAGAGGCTTTGCTTCACTTTAGGGCAATGGAGTTCAACAAAAACGGCAACCAGCGAGAAGTCTTCCGCGAGCGGCCTCCTGCGTGGGAGAGCGCGCGAGGTCCCGGGGCTGGCCCGGCAACGGGCAGCACTGGAAGCTCGCGCCGTTCCCGCCGTCGCGCGCGCGCGCGACGGCACGGCGCGGCGCGGCGCGCGAATCCGCGGTCTTCATGCACGCCGCCATCGACGGCGCTAGGTCGTTCGTTCGATCCCGGGCCCGACCCGTGCGTTGCGATTACGACGTGGTTCGAGCTATCGCTCCGCTCCGCGCGGCGGGCACCGGCGGCGCGTCGCTTTGCCGAGGCTTCGGGGCGCCGGCGCAAACGCGAAGTCGCATCGCGAGGGGTCGCTGCGGGCACAGACGAGGTGGTCGCCGCGCGCGCCAGTGTACGCCGACGGCCGTGCGCGTCCCGCCGGTGCGAAGTGTCACCGCGCCTCCCGTCGGAGGCTTCGTCGGCTGCGCCGCGGCCCGCGTTTTTGTGTCTCCGCGGCGCGCCGAGCCGGCCGCGTTTTTGCCATGGCGGACCGCGAGGGCGCCATCACGACGTCGGAGGCGGTCGTGAGCGGCGAGGCGTCCGGCCCCAAGGTGACGGTCGTCGTGCACCCGCTCGTGCTGCTGTCCACCGTGGACCACTACAACCGCGTCGCGCGCGACACGAAGAAGCGCGTCGTCGGCGTGCTGCTGGGCACGCGGTCGGGCGGCGACGTCGACGTGACGAACTCCTTCGCCGTGCCCTTCGAGGAGGACAGCAAGAACCCGGCGATCTGGTACCTGGACCACAACTACCTCGAGACCATGTACCGCATGTACAAGAAGGTCAACGCGCGCGAGGTCGTCGTCGGCTACTACTCGACGGGCCCGAAGATCAAGGAGAACGACATCAAGATCGACGCGCTGATGCAGGACTACTGCGCCCAGCCCGTCTTCGTCATCATCGACGTGCGGCCCGAGAACGACGCGATCCCGACGACGGCCTACGTGTCCGTCGAGGAGGTCGAGGCCGAGTCCGGCGCGGCGCGCAAGGAGATCCAGCGCACCTTCAAGCACGTGAGCTCCATGATCGGCGCCTACGAGGCCGAGGAGGTCGGCGTCGAGCACCTCCTGCGCGACGTCAACGACCCCACCGTGTCGACGCTCGCGTCGCAGATCAAGCACAAGATGGCCGGTTTGGTCGCGCTCCGGTCCCGCCTCGCGGAGATGAAGGCCTACCTCGAGGCCGTGCTCGCCGGCAAGCTCCCGGCGAACAACCAGATCATGTACAACTGTCAAATGATCTTCAACCTCATGCCCAACCTCAACGTCGACGCGCTCGTGTCGTCGATGCTCGTGAAGACGAACGACTACCACCTCGCCATCTACTGCGCGGCCCTCGTCCGCTGCATCATCGCCCTCCACGAGCTCGTCAACAACAAGATCACGAACAAGCGCCTCGAGGAGGAGGCCGAGAACCCCAAGCCCAAGGACGACAAGAAGAAGGGCGACCCGGCCGACGGCGCCAAGGACGGCGCCAAGGAGAACGAGAAGCCCGACGCCAAGGCCGACGCCAAGGACGGCGCCGACGCGGCGAAGAAGTGAGGCGCGCCTCGCACTAAACCCGTCGCGTCGTCGCCCGTGCCGGGTCCCGCGGCGGCTGGCTGCGTCCGCGGGTGCGCGCCCGTTCAGCTTGTCGTCAACATGACCCTGTCCGCGGCGTCACGCTTATGATGGGCCCACGCTGCGCCTGAAGCCCCCATCGCGCGTCGTCCGCGCTGCTGAGCCGTTTCGCCGCGCCGCGCCATGGACAAGCAGGGCAGCCGGTGGATCGTCGTCGCCGGGTTCGTCGCGTGCTTCCTCATGGCCATGGCCATGGGCGCCAACGACGTCGCCAACGCCTTCGGCACGTCCGTGGGCGCGGGCGTCGTGACGCTGCGCCAGGCGCTGGTGCTCGCGGCGGTCTGCAACGTCGGCGGCGCCGTGCTCATGTCCGGCGCGGTCACGGAGACGATCCGCAAGGGCATCGTCGACGTCGAGCGGTTCTCCGGCGACTCGGGCGACGGCGCGCCCGAGGAGCTCATGCTGCTCATGCTCTGCGCCATGGTCGGGTCCGTCGCCTACGTCGGCGGCGCGACGGCCCTCCGGCTGCCCGTGTCGACGACGCAGGCCGTGCTCGGCGGTCTGGTCGGCGCGATGATCTCGCGCGACCGCGGCGGCGGCCGCGGCGTCCGCTGGAGCGACGGCGCGCGCGTCTGCCGCTACTCGAAGAAGACGGGCCGCCTCTCCTGCGGCGGCGTCGCGGGCGTCGTGCTCCAGTGGTTCGTCGCGCCGCTGATCTCCATGGTCCTGGCCGTCGCGCTCTTCCGCCTCAGCCGCGTCGTCCTCCTCGACCGCGACAGGGCCGTCGCGCTCCGCCGCGCGCCGGCCTACATGGCCCTGCTCCTCGGGGGCGTCGCCTTCGCCCTCGCCTGGTTCGTCGTCGTCCAGCAGCAGTTCCACCCGCACACGCGCGGCTGGGACCCGCGGAACGCGAACGATCCCGTCAACCGAGCGACGGCGCTCGAGGTCGTCGCGTGCGCGCTCGTCGGCGTCGCCGGGGCCTGGGGCGCGCTCACGGTCTTCACGCTCTGGCCCGGCGCGCTCCGCTTCGCGCCCGCGGCGCCGGGGCCGCGGACGCTGGAGCTCGCGCCGGTGCCGGCGGGCGGCTCGCCGAAGCGGAACCCGCTGCGGCGCGACGACGAGCGGCCGCTGACGGACGGCGACGGCGGCGACGACGGCGCCGCGGCGCCCTCGCCCTTCGGCGGCGCCGACGGCGCGGCCACGGTGGCCGCGCACGGCGCCGCGCGGTCCTTCGACCCGGACGTCGAGGCCGTCTTCGGCGCCGCGCAGGTCGCGTCCGCGGCGCTCGCGGCGTTCGCCGCGGGCGCGAACGACGTCGCCAACGAGGTCGCGCCCGTCGCGGCGATCTGGCAGACCTGGGCCGACGGCGAGGTCCGATCCACCGCGCGCACGCCCAAGTGGCTCTTCCTCTACGCGGGCGCGGGCGTCGCCGCGGGCCTCGGCCTCTTCGGCGCGCGCGTCATGCGCACCGTGGGCCGCGACGCGACGAAGATGACGCCGGCCCGCGGCTTCAACATCGAGCTCGGCTACTCGCTCGCGTCGCTCGTCGCGTCCGCCGAGGGCTGGCCCGTGTCGACGACGCAGCTCTGCGTCGGCGCCGTCGTCGGCGTCGGCCTCGCGTCCGGCGACGGCGCGCGCGCCTCCGACGCGGTCAACACGCGGCTCCTCGCGCGCATCTTCCTCTCCTGGGTCGCGACGCCCCTCGTCGCGGGCCTCGTCGCCGCGCTCGCGTACGCCTGCCTCCGACCCGCGCTGTGACGCCGCGTCGGGGTCGGTCGCGGGTACCGGTCGTAAGGCGCGTCGTGTGGCCCGGTCGCCGTTCGGACCACGCGGTGTCGACCGAAGTCGACCGACCTGCTCCGAGGTCGCGGAGGTCCGCCGCGACGCCCGCCTCGGCGAGAGTTCAGCGAGTTCCCCCCGCGTCCCCGACGCCCGGCGCGCCGCGCGACCGCCCCTCGGCGTCGCAGGTACCTCCTCGGCAACAAGATGGAGGGCACGTTCCCGCTCGCCCTCTGCGACCTCAACTACTACGAAGTACTCCCCCATCCCCGCCCCCGTCCAGCGCGCTCCCGCTCGTAAGCTTCTGCACGAACAGGTTCTACGAACAGGTAACGCTCGTCCCTTCTGCTTTCGCGTCGCGCGGTCTGTGCGATGTTGGGGGGCTCGGGGCGCGGACCCGTCCTCGTGCGGACGTACGTGCGGCTCGAGGAGGAGCCTGCCTGCTGCGAGGGCGGACCTGTCGAGAGGTGAGGCCCGGTCTGGGCCCAAGTCAGTGAATTCACGGTTCGCCCCGCGCGCGACGCGTCGTCGTGTCGCGCATGGCGTGACCCCCTCCCGCGAGTCCTCGGCACCACCCTCCGGGCCGCCGCACCGACCGATGCGGCGCCCAAACACCGTCGCCGCGGCCCTCGTCGCCGCCGGCGCCGTCTTCCTTGCCGTCGCCGCAGTCGCACTGCTCGCGCGCCCCGCGCGCGACGGCGCGGCGGCGCTGTCGACGACGGCGCTTGCGACCGACCCGGCGCCGTACGCGCCCCGCGACGACCCGGAGATCCCCCGGGACGTCGAAGATTTTCTCGCCGCCGAGATGGGCGCGGTCGCGTCCCCCGGCGACGCCGCGGCGGCGCAGCGCTACGAGGGCCCCGGCTGCGGCGGCGCGCTCGGCGGCGCGCGCGTCGCCGCATCCAACGCCTACGGGCCCGGGTCGCGCGACGCGGCGGCGGCCGCGGCGGGCGAGGACTACCCGTTGCTCGAAGTCGCGGAGCCCTTCCGCGCGACGACGCTCCGCGTCGCGGGCTGGCCCGGCGACGCGGCCACCGCCTGGGCCGCGGCGTGGTCGGCGGGCGGCGCGCCGCTCTGGAGCTACGGCGCGTCCGCGGACGTCGCGTTCGCCGAGGTCGGCTGGGCGCGCCTCGCCGTCGTCGACGAAACGCGCGCGTGCTGGCTCGCGGCTCAAATCGCCGTGCGCTACGTGCGCCGCGAGGTGCGGTCGCTCAGCGACCGCGACCGCGAGGCCTTCCTCCAGGGCGTCATGGCCATGCAGCGCCTGCCCGCGGACGTCGGGTCGCGGCTCTACGGGAGCGCCTACCGGAGCAAGGACCACTTCAACCGGCTCCACCTCTACTACGGCGGCCGCGCGGCCTGCGACCACTGGCACCAGGGCGCGGGCTTCGTCACGTCCCACGTCGCGCTGACCCTCGAGTACGAGCGGTCGCTCCAGGCGATCTACCCCTGGGCGACGGTGCCCTACTGGGACATCTCGCTCGAGTCGACGTTCTACGACGCGGCGGCCTGGCGGACCTCGGCCGTGTTCCGCGGCGACTGGTTCGGGGCCGCGGCGCCGGCCAACGGCCTGCGCGCGCTCGCCGCGGGCCGCTTCGCCTTCGCGCCGACGATGGCGAACGCGCGCCGCTTCTCGCGCGTCGCGAACTGTGTGGAAATCAAATCTTCAACCAGACTTCAATGTGAGCGTATGCGACCGTTTCGACGCGAGGTTTTCTGCTGTGCTTCGAGAACTCGATGAGAGCAATCGATTCGTCCAAAAATCAGCCGAATCGACTTCGATTTGACGGAGCTAGAGAGTTCTGAAGTTTGGTCAGGACCCCCCAAACCAGTGGTTGGAATCCACGCAGGTCGCGAACGGCTACGGCCTCCTCCGCGCGCCCTGGAACGCGGACCCGACGCCCTTCCTCACGCGGAGCGGCCACGTCTACGGGTACCCGAACAACATGAAGCCCAGCGGCTGCGCCGAGTTCGCGCGCGCGGTCCGCGCGGCCGACTGGGCGTCGCTCGCGAGGCAGCTCAACAGCGCCGCGCACGGCCACGTCCACGAGACGCTCGGCGGGTCCTGGCACCACGACCTCGGCGCGCCGGCGACGCCCGCGGTGCTCCTCTTCGCCCACTCGGTGCAGGCGCTGTCCAAGGACCTGTGGCGCGCGGGCGTGCTGGCCTGCGCGGCGGGCTGCGACCCCGGGGCGACGCCCGCGGCGGCCTGCGGCTGCGCCTGCGCGGCGAACGCGTCGGCGTCGCCCCACGCCGTGCTCCGCGACGCCGGCGTGCTCGCGTCGCTCGCCTACTACGACGGCGACGGCCGGCCCCTGGGGGGCGCGCTCCGCGACGACGACCCGCTCTACGGCGACGCGCTCCGCGCGCTCTGCGACCCGGGCCACATCGGCGACATGTTCCAGGCGTCGAGCACGAACGACCCGACCTTCTGGGTGCTCCACGGCAACATCGACCGCGTCTGGCACCTCAAGCGCCTCGTCGCGGCCGCGCGCGGCGGCTACGACGAAGCCTGGCGCGCCGACCACGCGTGCTACGGCCACAACCCGGACGACCTCCAGCCCTGGCGCGCGGGCGCGCTGTCCCCCGCGGGGGGGGCGCGGCGCCGGAGCGGCGGCGGCGCCTACCACACGAACCGCGAGCTCTACAACCTCTTCCGCCCGGCGGACGCGGACCTCGGCTACGTCTACGACTCCTTCGACTGGCCCCACTGCGGCCTCGTGGGACTCGACATGGTCAAGGCCGCGCTCGCGGGGCTCCGAAACGGCGACGGCGACGGCGGCGCGTAACACCTCCGTCCGGGGCGCGCGTGGCGGGAGGCGCGCGCGAGGGGCCGAGGGCGAGCGGGAGCACAAGTTTGTTGAACCTCAACAAAGAAGTCGAAGGCATGGCTGCCAGTGCGAGAGGGCGCTAGGGGCCGAGCTGTGGCCAATTGCTCTGTCGTCCGAAGCCGATCGCGCCGCAGCACAGCCGCAAAAAGCACACGCCGTGCCGTCCGCAGCCGTTCGCGCCGCAAGCACGCAGCAGCAGCGCGCGCAGCCGCAGCGCAAAGGACCATGCGCCTCCCGCTCTTCTTCGCGGCGCCGCTCCTCGAGTGGGCCGCGGAGCAGGGCGCGACCATCGACGGCGGCATCGAGGTGTGCGAGGCGGCCGACCGCGGCCGGGGCCTCTACGCGACGGCGCCCATCGCCGCGGGCGCGCGCCTCGTGCGCATCCCCGGCCGCCTGCAGCTCGGCGTCGAGGCGCTCGCCGAGGGCGACGATCTGGAGCTCCAGGCCATGGTGCGGGACCTGCCCTGGCGCGACCTGCTGTCGACGGGGCTGACGTTCCTGCCCTGCGCGCTCGCGCTCCTCGGCGAGCGCCGCGCCGCGGAGAGCAGGTTCGGGCCCTACCTCGACGACCTGCCCCGGGCCTACAGCAACGCCGTCGCGCCCTGGGAGGGCGCGCCCGGCGAGGACTGCGGGCACCTCGCGGCCTACGCGCCGGCGACGGCGGCCAAGGTCCGCGCGCGCCGCGCGGGGCTCGCGGGCGTCCACGGCGCGCTCGCGCCGGACGGCGTCGGGTTGCGCGATTTATGCTGGGCGTCCGCGACGGTCTGCAGCCGCGCGCTCGTGCGCACGGCCGGGCCCGAAGTCAGCGACCTCGTCGTCGGCGCCGTCGCCGCGCGCGACCGCACGCGGCTCCTGCCGGTCATCGACCTCGTCAACCACGGCGCCGCCGCCGCGAACGCGGCCGTGCGGACGCCCGGCGGCGGCGCGGACCCCTTGGCGACGGTCCTCGTCGCGACGCGCGACCTGGCGGCCGGCGACGAGGTCCTCATCGACTACCGCGCGGACCGCGAGCGGCTCCTGCTCGACTACGGCTTCGCGGACGCGTCGTCGAACGCGGCCGCGTTCGTCGGCGTGCGCCTCAAAGAGGACCTCCTGCCGGCCATCGGCGGCCTGGGCCGGGAGCGCGCGGCCATGCGCGACGTGCCCGAGCGAGCGCTCGACGAACTCCGCGCGCTCATCGCCTTCTGCGTCGACGACGCGACGCGGGCGCAGGGCGGGTCGCCGCTGCTCTTCGAGGCCGCCTCGGGCGCGCCGACGACGCCGACGCTCGCGCTCGCGCTCGCCCTGAGCTGCCGGGGCCCCGACGACGTCGCGAACGTGCTCGCCACGGCCGGCGAGGCCGACGGCGCCGGCCTCGGCGCCGCGCTCGTCGCGCGCGCCGAGCCCGCGCAGGCGGACTTCGCGCGCGAGGCGCTCCGCGCGGCCGCGGCCGCGGCCCTCGACGAGCCGCCCGCGGACGCGGCCGCGGCCGCGTCGCCCTTCTCCCGGGTCGCCCGGGCCTTCATCTCCGCCGAGTACGGCACGTCGTCCGGCGCGGCCCTCCGGCGCGTCGCGGCGAAGGACGGGTCATAGCGTCCTTCGTACTAGTAGCGGGGGCCCGGGGGGGCGCCTAGGCCGTCGCGACCTTGGACGACGCGCGGAGGAACGACTTGCCGAGGCACGCGTCCTTGTCCGAGGAGGCGCCGATCGACGTGTCGACGTCCGTCTCCGTGTACGCGTAGTCGCTGCCCGCGGGCGTGCAGCCGTCCTGGGAGCCGCAGTAGAGGTTGTGCAGGTTGCAATAGTTCGTGCTAAAGTCGGCGACGGACGTGACCTGGCTCTCGGAGCACGCCTCGAGCTTGCACCCGCCCGACACCGTCGCGAAGGAGAAGGCGAACTTGTCCGTGTACTGGCCGTTGGCCGTCGTCCGCGTCCCCGCGAGGGCCGTCGCCGAAGACGACGCCACGGCGTATTTGCCCCCGTTGTGCGGGTCCGTCCAGGCGCCGGAGGCCGTGCCTATCAAGCGCGTCGGTCGGGAGTTTTCGTCGTTTCCCCGGTCAGAAGCTCTCAAAATCGTCGCGGCCGCAGGACGCTGGGCCGATACCCGCGATGCGGGCCTTCATCTCCGTCATGACGTCGGCGCAGGACGTCGACGTGAAGACGACCGTGTTCTCGCAGGACGCGTGGACCCAGGCGTCGCTGCCGGGGCACACGTCGGCAGCGGCGCCGTACGCGGCGAGGGCGAGGACGAGGCGCAGCATGTTCCGACGCCGTGGATGTCGTGGAGCCGCGCGGCGGGGCAGCCCAGAGATGATCAGGAAGTTGATCAGGCAGGAAGTTTAGAAGTTTGCACGGGCCGCATTCCGGGCTGCTATTAGCAAGCATGGCGTCGATGGCAACGTCCTCCGAGATCGTCGTCTTCATCGACTGCCCGGACCCGGTGCGTGGCGCGCGGCCGCCCGCGTCGCGCGCGACCCGCGCGCGTCGCAGGACAACTTCATGCTCGCGGTCTGCGCGTCGCTGCTCCGCGGCGCGACGCACGTCGTGCTCACGGGCCGGCCGGCGAACTTCGAGGCGCGAAAAATTTCCCCCGCCCCGCGCCGTCGCCACGCCCCCCCCCCCCAGGTACGGAGCCGGCCGTTCCACCCGCGGACCTGCGCGCGCGGCCCCGACGAGGTCGACGACGCGGGCGACAGCGCGCTCGCGCTGCGGTCCGCGGCCGCGCACCTGCGGCGCTTCGCCCGGGCCCACGGCTGCGGCCCGCTCCGGCTCTACGACGGCGGGTCGGCGCCGGCGGCGCCCGTGGCCCACGCGGAGCACGTCGCCGAGTACCTCTTCGGCCGCGCGGACCTCGCCGGCGGCGCGGTCGGCGCGGCCGTCGCGACCGCGGACTACCGCGGACTCCTCGCGGAGCTCGACGGGTCGGCGGACCGGCGCGGGACCCTCGCGGCCTGGCTCGCGGCCGACGCCGACGACGGCGCCCTCGAGCCGCTGGCGAACGTGGCGGAGGCGACGCGCGGCGCGGCGTCGGTCGACGTGCTCGTCGGCGGGCCCATGACGGCGCTCGACGCGCTGGCGACGAGCGACCCGGACTTCGCGGGGAAGATCGCCCACGTGCGCGCCATGGCCGCGGCCTGGGACTGCTCCACGGCGAACCTCTTCGCGAACCAGTTCAACTGCGCCGCGGACCTCGGCGCCGCGGCGGCCGTTTTAGGGCCCGGCGGCCCGCTCGGGGCCGCGCCCGTGACGCTCTACACGACGGAGTTCTGCAAGGGCGCGCTGAGCCTCTCGCCGGCCGAGGTCCGCGCGCACGCCGCGCCGCCGGTAGCCGCGCTCTACGACCTGTGGCACGACCTCACGGGCGGCCGCGGCGCCGTGACGCTCTTCGACGTCGCGCCCCTCCTCGACCTCGTCGCGCCGCCCCTCGCGCCGACCGTGCCCGTGGCCTGCGCGCTCCGGAGCGACGGCGTCTTCGCCATCACGGAGGTCGCGGAGAGCCGCGTCCGCGCGACGCAGCGCGTCCTCTCCGCGGAGGACGCCGCCGCGGCCAAGGGCAAGCTCCTCGACCTCCTCGCCAACGCCGCCCTCGCCGCCCTCTGAGTAGGCGTCCCTCTGGGTGCCGGGGGCGTGGGAGGCGAGCTCCGGGGGTCGAGGCGTGCGTCGCGTCGCGCGCGGCGCGGCCTTTCTCGAGGTGGAAGTGGCAATGGAGACCTCTGCGGGCGCCTCCCCGCGCATGCATCAAGCGCGCGCCTGGCCGCTGCGTGTCTGCGCACTACTGCTACTACCACACACAGCACGCGCCTCCTGCGCCGCGCCGCGCTTCGGCCAGCGCGACGGCGAGTTGGACATGCGGCGCTGGCGCGTGGCGTCGGATAGGGACGTCGGCGCGGCGCGCGGCGCCCGCGCCTTCGGCAGCTACACGTTCAACGTGAGCGACGGCCGCGAGACGTTCCCGCTCTGGTACGGCATGACCGAGGGCTACCCCTGGAGCCAGCCCGTGGACGGCGCGCGCTACGACGCGCTCCACGCGGGCGTCCGACTGCGGCCGCGCGACGTCACGGTCGCGAGCTACCCGAAGACGGGCACGACCTGGGTCGAGCAGATCGTGCTGCTGCTGCTCCACGGCAGCGGCGTCGCGCCGAAGCTCGACCCGGCGAGCCGCAACTCCTACGTGCCCGGGCGGCGCGACGTCGGCTGCGTATGGCTGGAGCCCACGGTCGCGTCGAAGCGCGGCGGCCGCTTCACGCTGGACCAGTTCGACGCCATCCCGGCGCCGCGCGTCATCAAGTCGCACGCGCCCTTCGACAGCCTCGTCGGCACGCGGTCCGTCCCCGGGAAGCGCGGCGTCGACGCGCTGACGGCGTCCGGGTCCCGGGTCGTCTACGTGTCGAGGAACCCCAAGGACGCCGCCGTGAGCCTCTACTTCCAGCGCGCGCCCGTGCCCGGCCCGGCGCGCCCTCGCGCGGCCGCCGGCGACGCGGCGCCGGCCCCTCGCCGCGGCGGACGCGGCGCGCGCGCCGGCGGCGCGGCGCCGGCCCCCCGCGGCCGGCGCGGCCGGCCGGCCGCGCGGCCGCCGCGACGCCGGGCGAAGGCCGGGCGAAGAGCGCGGCCGAGGCCGGCGCCTCGCGGCCGCGCGGCCGACGCGGCGCATGCCCATGGACGCGTGGTGCGCCCTCTACACCAAGGGCTACATGGCCTCCGGGTCCTACTTCGAGCACGTCGCGCGCTGGCACGCCGCGTCGCGCGCGCCGGGGTCGCCCGTGCTCTTCCTCAAGTACGAGGCGCTCCGCGCGGACCCGAGGAAGCAGATCCGGCGCATCGCGGCCCACCTCGGCCTCGAGCGGGACGCCGCCGAGATCGACCGCGTCGCGGACCTGTCGTCCTTCGAGCGCATGAAGGCGTCCGCGGCCGCGGCCGACGCCGGCGCGAGGTCCGACGCGCGCAACCCCAAGTACGCCGTCGCGCCGGGCGGCAACGCGTCGAACCCGGCGCACACGACGGGCCACATCCGCGAGGGCGGCTCCGGCGGCTGGGTCCAGCACTTCTCGAAGCTCCTCAGCGACCAGTTCGACGCGGAGTACCGGCGCCAGCTCGACGGCTACGCGGCGAAAGCCGCGGCGGACTTCGGCGTCGACGTGGAGGCGCCGACCTTCGACTTCGGGGGCGGGTGCGTGGCGTAATGACGTTGGCGTGCTTCGTCGTGCTTGGCCATGGACTTCCCCATCAGGAAACGCCAGCGTCGCGTGGGAAGCGCCGACCGTGGAGAAGGGTGCGACGCGGCGAGTGGCGAAGGCGCTGGGTTGCCCGAGAGGCGTCCAGTTCGCCGTCGCACGGTCCTGCACGCCAGGGCGTACGCCAGGCCCACTGAGAGGCCGGCCCAAGCCCGTGAGACGACGTGGGTCCGGAACTCGTTTCTAGTGGTAAATCCCCCCACTGGCAATTTTCGACGCACTAAATTTTCCTTACCACTCGTTCATCGACGTCGCCTCAGCTCGTCACACACTTGGGTACTTTTGTGTACGTCTGCTCTCCGCGTCGGCTTCGACGTCGCGCAGGCGCCTCCGTGCGCTGCCGTAGTTGCAGCGCCGCCACCCCAGCGAGTCGCAGCCGCCGCGGACTAGCACCGCAGCCATGGGCCCCCTCAAGCGCAGCCAGTCCATGGTGGGCATCGTCAACAAGAAGAAGATGCCCCTGAGCCCCCAGGGCATGGAGATGAAGGCGAAGATGGTGTCCTACGTCGAGGCCCACGGCGGCCACCGCCCCGTGCACACGATCCTCATCGCGAACAACGGCATGGCCGCGACCAAGGCGATGATCTCGATGCGCGAGTGGGCGTACGACACGCTCGGCGACGCCAAGGCCGTGACCTTCGTGGCCATGGCGAGCGCGCAGGACCTCGACGCCAACGCCGAGTTCGTGCGCCTCGCGGACCGCGTCGTCGAGGTGCCCAGCGGGTCGAACAAGAACAACTACGCGAACGTCGAGCTCATCATCGACATCGCGGTCAAGGAGTCCGTCGACGCGGTCTGGCCCGGCTGGGGCCACGCGTCGGAGAACCCGGAGCTGCCCGACGGCCTCGCGGCCCGGGGCATCGTCTTCATCGGCCCCGACGGCGGGCCCATGCGCGCGCTCGGCGACAAGATCGCGGCGTCGATTTTGGCGCAGACGGCCGAGGTGCCGTCGATCCCCTGGTCCGGCGACGGCCTCACCGTGGACCCCAAGGTCGTCGCAGCCACGGGCGCCATCCCCCCGGACCTCTTCCGCAAGGCCATGGTCACGACGGAGGACGAGTGCCTGAAAGCCGCCGCGCGCATCGGCTACCCGGTCATGCTCAAGGCGTCCGAGGGCGGCGGCGGCAAGGGCATCCGCATGTCCCACTCCGAGGACGAGCTCAAGTCGAACTTCGTCCAGGTTAGCAACGAGGTGCCCGGGTCGCCCATGTTCATGATGCAGCTCTGCAGCAACGCGCGCCACCTCGAGGTGCAGATCGTCGGCGACAAGCACGGCCAGGCCGTCGCGCTCAACGGCCGCGACTGCTCCACGCAGCGCCGCTTCCAGAAGATCTTCGAGGAGGCGCCGGCGGCCATCGCCAAGCCCGAGGTCTTCCGCGAGATGGAGAAGGCGGCCATGCGCCTCACGCAGTCCATCGGCTACTCGGGCGCGGGCACCGTCGAGTATTTGTACCACGCGGCGACGGACAAGTTCTACTTCCTCGAGCTCAACCCGCGCCTCCAGGTCGAGCACCCCTGCACGGAGGGCATCACCTTCATCAACATGCCCGCGACGCAGCTCCAGGTCGCCATGGGCATCCCCCTCCACCGCATCCCGCACGTCCGCCGCTTCTACGGCCTCGAGGACCTCGACGGGTCGTCGGCCATCGACTTCTTCGAGACGCCCTACCCCAAGGTCACGAACCACATCATCGCCGCGCGCATCACGGCCGAGAACCCCGACGAGGGTTTTAAACCGACTTCCGGCTCCATCCACCGCGTCAAGTTCCAGTCCACGAAGAACGTCTGGGGCTACTTCTCCGTCGGCGCGAACGGCGGCATCCACGAGTTCGCCGACTCCCAGTTCGGCCACCTCTTCGCGTCCGGCGCGACGCGCGAGATCGCGCGGCGCCACCTCGTGCTCGCGCTCAAGTCCGTGGAGATCCGCGGCGTCATCCGCAACCCCGTCGAGTACCTCGTGGAATTGCTCGAGACGGACGAGTTCAAGGAGAACCGCATCGACACGGGGTGGCTCGACGGCATCCTCAAGGCCAAGTCCGTGTCCGTGCCCATGAACACGCCGCGCCTCGTCCTCGCCGCCGTCATCTTCCGCGCGCACGCGGCGATCAAGGAGAAGACGGCCGAGCTCTGCGCGTCGATGGCCAAGGGCCAGCTCTCGACGGCGACGGTCAAGGATTTGGTGCGCTTCCCGTCGGTCATCACCTACGAGGGCCTCAAGTACGACTTCTCCATCGCCAAGTCCGGGCCCGAGACCTTTGCGCTCCAGATCAACGGCCAGACGGTCACGGCCAAGGTCCGCGAGCAGCCCGACGGCACGCTCCTCGCGGCCTTTGGGGGCGCGACGCGCAAGGTCTTCGGCGCCGAGGAGCCCCTGGGCCTGCGCATCATCTGCGACGGCGTCACGTGCCTCATGCCGACGATCTTCGACCCGTCGGAGTGCCGCACGGACGTCACGGGCAAGATCGTCCGCTACTGTGTGGAAATCAAATCTTCAACCCGACTTCAATGTGCGCGTATTCGAATGTTCGACGCAAGGCTTTTTGCTGTGCTTCGAGAACTCGATGAGAGCGATCGATTCGTCCAAAAATCAGCCGAATCGACTTCGATTTGACCGAGCTAGAGATTTCTGAAGTTTGGCCCCGACGTCCCAGCTCACTGGTTGATTTCCACACAGGTCCGCTACCTCCAGGACGACGGCGCGCAGGTCAACGCGGGCGAGCCCTACGTCGAGGTCGAGGCCATGAAGATGATCATGGCGCTGAAGACGGCGGAAAGCGGCGCCATCAAGCACGAGATGTCGCCCGGGTCCATCATCTCCACGGGCGATTTGCTCGCGTCTTTGACGCTCAGCGACCCGTCGTCCGTCGTGAAGATCGAGCCCTTCACGGGCACCTTCGACGTCATCGACGCCATCGACGAGGATTTGACGGCCAAGGAGGCCTGCGCCCTCGTGCTCCAGGGCTACGAGTGCGACGACGTCAAGGGTTTGGCGTCGGAACTCTTCGACGAGAACCCGAACATCGCCGTCGCGGACGCCGCGGAGTTATTAGGCGCCTACCTGGTCGTCGAGGGCCGCTACGCGGGGCGCCCCCTCGACGGCGTCGTCCGCGACCTCATCGCGGAGCACAAGGACGCCCTCGGCGGCGCCATCGCGGTCGCGCGCGCGCACCAGGCCGTCGCGCGGACGACGGATTTGTGCTTCCACATCTGCGAGCATCTGCTGGAAACTTATACGGACCGCCTCAAGAGCGGCGTCAAGGGCACGCCGCCGACGCTGGGCTCCGTCGTCGCCCAGCTCGCGGCGCTGCCGGGCGACAAGTACAGCGACCTGGCGCTCCTCGCGCTCCGCGTGTCGCTCGCGGCGTCGGACGACGAGCCGACGACGCCGCGGACGCTCGACACGAAGCTCTTCAACAAGTCGAAGCTCACCAAGGGCTACGCCTTGATGGAGCTCGAGACGGGCACGCCCTTCGGCACCGCGTTCCTCGGCAACAAGACCGTGGAGTCGTCCGCGCTCACGAAGCCCGGCCGCGGCGGCGAGCCGCCGGTGGTCTTCCTGCTCTACGCGTGCCAGAGCGACTTCGGCGGCGGCGTCGCCAAGGTCCAGGAGGCGTTGGAGACGGCCCTCGAGGCCCTGGCCATCGCGCGCAAGGACAGCAAGGTGCCCATGACGTCCGCGTCGTCCGTCGTCGTCCGCGTGCCCAAGGGCTTCGGCACCGTGTCGTCCGTCGTCGGCGCCGCGGCGCTGGATTTGGTCATGAAGAACCTGGCGGCGAAGCTCGCGGCGCTCCACGTCGATTCCTTCGCCGTCCGCGTCGGCGACGCGAACTTTGCGATGGCGTCGCCCGCGTCGACGTCGTGGCCCGCGCTCGAGGCCGTCGACGCCAAGGTCGCCGACGACTTCGTGCCGTCGCCCTTCGCGAAGCGCCGCGCGACGGCGCGCCGCGCCGGGTCCACGTTCTGCTACGACTTCGTCGGGCTGTTGGCGTGCGCGGCGAAGGGCGCCGAGGGCGGCTTCCCGGGTTCGCTCAAAGCCGACGAGCTCGTCTGGGCCGACGACGCCAAGACGGCGCTCAAACCGGCGCCGGGCACGCCGCCGGGCACGAACAAGGTCGGCATGGTCGCCTGGCACATGACGCTCAAGTCCGCGGAGTACCCGTCCGGCCGCGAGCTCGTCGTCATCGCGAACGACGTCACGTTCCAGAGCGGGTCCTTCGGCGTGCCCGAGGACGACGTCTACAAGGCGGCGTCGGTGTACGCGCGGGCCCGGGGCATCCCCCGCATCTACGTCGCCTGCAACAGCGGCGCGCGCATCGGCCTCGTCGAGGAGCTCAAGCCCAAGTTCAAGGTCAAGTGGAACAACGAGGCCAACCCGGGCCAGGGCTTCGAGTACGTCTACCTCGACCGCGCGGACTACGAGGCCCTGGAGCCGGGCACGGTGCTCGGGTCCTTCAAGGGCGACGACTTCGTCCTGTCGGCCATCGTCGGCACGACGCACGGCATCGGCGTCGAGAACCTGCGCGGCTCGGGCACCATCGCCGGCGAGACGTCCCGCGCCTACCAGGACGGCTTCACGCTGAGCTACGTGACGGGCCGGTCCGTGGGCATCGGCGCCTACCTCGTGCGCCTCGGCCAGCGCACGATCCAGATGAACGTCGGCCCGCTGATCCTCACGGGCTACGCGGCGCTCAACAAATTGCTGGGCCGCGAGGTCTACACGTCCCAGGACCAGCTCGGCGGGCCCCAGGTCATGCACCCCAACGGCGTGTCCCACATGACCGTGGACAACGACGTCGAGGGCGTCAAGGAGATCCTCAAGTGGCTCTCGTTCGTGCCCGCGACGAAGTTCGACCAGCCCGCGGTGCTCGCGCCTACCGACCCCGTGGACCGCGACGTCGCCTTCCTCCCGACGAAGGCGCCCTACGACCCGCGCCACATGCTCGCGGGCTGCGACGGGCCGTCGGGCTTCGTGTCCGGCTTCTTCGACGCGGGCTCGTTCACGGAGTACCTCGCGGGCTGGGGCAAGTCCGTCGTCGTGGGCCGGGGCCGCCTGGGCGGCATCGCCATGGGCGCCATCGCCGTGGAGACGCGCCTCAGTGAGCAGCGCGTGCCCGCGGACCCCGCGGACCCCGCGTCGAACGAGGCCATCCTCGCGCAGCCGGGCCAGGTCTGGTTCCCCGACAGCGCCTACAAGACGGCCCAGGCCATCCGCGACTTCTCCGGCGAGAACCTGCCCATCGTCATCTTCGCGAACTGGCGCGGCTTCTCCGGCGGCACGCGCGACATGTACGGCGAGATCCTGAAATTCGGCGCGATGATCGTCGACGCGCTCGTCGACTGCACGGCGCCCGTGTCCGTCTACATCCCGCCCAACGGCGAGCTCCGCGGCGGCGCCTGGGTCGTCGTCGACCCGACGATCAACGCCGACGCCATGGAGATGTACGCGGACGAGCAGTCGCGCGGCGGCATCCTCGAGCCGCCGGGCATCTGCGAGGTCAAGTTCCGCGCGGCCGACCAGCTCAAGGCCATGCACCGCCTCGACCCGACGCTCCTCAAGCTTAGTCAGGACAAGGACGGCAACGCCGACGCCATCAAGGCGCGGGAGGACGCCCTCGCGCCGACCTACATGCAGGTCGCGCACGAGTTCGCGGATTTGCACGACCGCGCGGGCCGCATGAAGGCCAAGGGCGTCATCCGCGACGTCCTGTCCTGGCCCAAGTGCCGCACCTACCTCTACTGGCGCACGAAGCGGCGCCTCGCCGAGGACGCGCTCAAGGCCCGGTTCAAGGCCGCCGCGGGCGACGAGCTCTCCAAGGCCGAGGTCGCCGCGGCCGTCGCGGACCTCGCGGGAGCGGCGCACGGCGACGACAAGGCCTTCCTCGCCTGGGCCGAGTCGGCGCCGGCCAAGGCCGCCGTCGCCGCCAAGCTCGACGCCGTCAAGCTCGCGGCCGTCACGGGCGCGGTCGCCAAGCTCCTCGCGGGGCTCCCGGCGGACGCGCGCGCCAAGGCCCTCGCGAACCTCCCCGCGCCCCAATAGAGGGCGCGGCCCGCTCGCGAGGCCCCCTCCCCCTCTCCCGAACACAAGCCCGCGCCCCCGTCGCCGCGCGCCGGGCCGACGCCCGTCGGCCCCGGCGCCGCGACCCCGCAGCGGATGCGACCCAGGCACCCTGTCCCATCTTTTAATAAAAATGCCGGGTACTACCCAGTCGAGCTAGGCGAGGCTCGCGAAGAGCTTCGTGGCCTTGGGGAGGCCGTTCTTCTGCCAGTCGTCCTCCGCGGCCGCGAGCGCGGTGGCGTCGCTCGGATCCGCGCGCACGGCCGCGCCGACGAGCTTGCTGCCCATGCCGCAGGCGCACGCGCCCGCGTCGAGCCACGCGGCCGCGTTGTCGGGCGTGATGCCGCCGCTCGGCAGGAAGCTCACGTGCTTGAAGTCGCCGACGGACCGCAGGTCCTTGAGCGCCGCCGGCGTCCAGAGCTGCGCCGGGAAGATCTTGATCAGCTTCGCGCCGGCGTTCCAGCAGGTGCGTATCTCCTGCGGCGTGAACGCCGCCGGAACGGGGAGCACGTTGTATTTCAGACAGGCCTCGATCATGCCTACCAAGACCGACAGGGTTGAGTGCTTCGGCTTTCTGGGCGTGAAATATGCGAAAAATACACTCCTGTCGCTGGACACTGGATCATGCCCGGCGGGTTGAAGGGGCTCAGCGCGAACTTTGCGCCCAAAGCCGCGACGCGCGGCACGTCGGCCGCGTCCTGGACCGTGCCGACGCCGACGCAGCAGAAGTCGCCGACGCGCGCGACGAGCGTCGAGAGCACGCGCTCGAACTCGACGCTGTCGAGCGTGACCTCGAGCGCCGAGCAGCCGAGGTTCGCGAGCTCGACGCCCCGCGCGATGGCCGCGTCCGCGTTCTTGGCCCGGAGGATCGCGACGACCTTGCCCCGCGCCACGGTCGCGAGCGCGCCGTCGAGGGCCGCGTTGGATGCGGGCGCCGCCGCCGGCGGCGTCGGCGGCGGCGGCGGCGGCGCGGCGCCCGCGCCGAGCGAGGGGCAGGGCACGAGCCGCGGGCTCGTCGGCTCGCGCGCGTAGCGGCGCTCGTAGGCCTCGAGCGCCGCGCGCGGCACGTCGCTGTGGTCGCCCTGGGACTCCTGGCAGAGGGCCGCGAGGAGGTCCGCGCGCCGCAGGGCGTCGGCGTCGGCGAGGCCGTCGAGCCGCGCGTCCACGTAGCCCGCGGCCCACGCGGAGCCGCCGCCGCACTCGTCCTTGGGCGTGTGGAGCACGGGGCAGTCGAACGTCGTCGCCAGGCCCGTCGCCGACGCCAGCACGGACCAGCGCTTCTGCAGCCCCGTGGCCGCGTCGCGCGTCTTGAAGCAGCACGCGAGCTTGAGCTTTTCCGCGCCCGCGTACGTCGCCGCGAGCTTTTCGCGCGCGTCCGCGAGGAGCGTGGGCCAGCACGCGTCCGTCTCCGGGACGACGGCGCCGGCCGCGGCGCCGCCGCGGCCCAGCGCGCTGTGGCCGTCGCGCTGCTCGAAGGCCGACATGGCCTCGGGCACGTCCGCGACGCCGACGAGCTTCGCGACGAGGCGCAGCTGCGTCAGCGACACGACGAGCGTGTCGACGGCGCAGGCCTCGTCGCCCAGCGCCTTCGCGACGGCCGCGTGCCAGAGATCCTCGAGCGTGCCCAGGGCCGGCCGCCAGTTGAGGTCGAGGAAGACCTTGGTGCCCGCCAGGCCCCCGAGGTCCTTGAGCCAGGCCGCCCGCGCCGCGGCGCTCAGCAGCGGCGTGATGCCCGTCGCGTGGCGCCACGCGCACGTCGCGCCGCCGACGCAGGCGAGGAGCGCGGCCTCGTCGGCCTTCGCGAACGCCGACCCGGCGCGCTCGTAGTGGACGCGGCGCTCGTCCGGCAGCACGTGGAAGCAGCCCATGAGCGCGCCCGGCGCGACGACGACCTTGGACGCGTCGACGCCCGCGTCTTCGGCGCACATGACGGGCACCGTGCCCGTGCGGCTCTCCGGAAGCACGCTGCTCCAGCCGCAGGACCGGCCGAGCCTCGCGAGGGCGACCATGACATTGAGTTCATCGCCGCCGACGGTGCGCAGCCAGAGGGACGCGCTCGAGGGCTTGGTCTCGCCGTCGAAGGGCGACGCCGTCGTCGGGGCGTAGCGCAGCATCGCCTCGCCCCAGCCGAAGGCCTCGAACGGAGAGCCCATTCTCTCACCTCGATTCGCCGAATAATGCCACAGGAAAGAAGTGACCTTGCAGTGGTGTTGCAGTGCCTCCGCGGTTCTACTCCGCGGTCACGCGCAGGCTTATACCGAAAGGGTCGTCACCACCAGGGGTGCACGGCGACGTCGCGCGCGTCGATGCCGAGGTCCGCGAGGAGCTCGCCGTTCGTCGACGGCGCCGCGTCGAGCACGCCGAGCGTGGGCCGGTCGTTCTCGAAGACGACGACCGCGGCCTCGACGTCGAGGACCTTCCGCGTGCCCGCCGCGTCCCGGTAGTGGAACTTGCGGAGCGCCGCGCGCCGGTCCGGGATGGACGCGTGGGCGAGCGCGTCGACGAGCGGCGGGTTCGCGCCGTGCTCGGAGCAGTAGCGCCATTGCGGGCACGCGTCCTCCATGGAGCGGCACGACAGCGCGAGCTCCGGGTACCTGGCCGCCAGCTCCGCCGGCGTGGTCTGCTTCGCCTCGTTGTAGGTCAGGTCGCGCCAGAGCTCGCCGCCGTAGCGCACGCAGCCGCCGAGGTCCGCCTCCTCCAAAATGCTGTGCCAGAGGCTGTACTGGTCCTTGAAGGAGCAGCGGTTGCCGAACCAGCGCCGGAGGAAGGCGCGCGCGAAGGGCGCGTCCCGCGCGTAGAAGCGGCTCCCGTGGACGCGCCACCACGTCGTGAACGCGCCGCGCGCGTGCTCGAAGACGACGTCGGAGCCGTTGACGTCGTGGACGCTCCGCTGGAAGGCCCGCCGCTTCTTCGACGCCGTCGTCGCGGCCCAGGGCCAGGCGGCCGCCGCGTCGAGGTCCACGTAGAAGAGGCCCGCCGTGTCCGGCCGCGCGAGCGCGGCGAGCGCCGCGGGCACCTTGATGTAGTGGTTCGACACGGACGTGGCGTCGTGGCGGATGGCCTTCTCGTCGCCGTCGTAGAAGGACTCGAGCGTCCGGCGCCGCGCCGACCGCGCCAGCGCGCTCGCGAGGCACGCGGGCCGCTCCGCGGTCGACAGCTTCTTGGGCAGCTCGCCGATCCACACGAGCGGCCGCAGCTTCGAGTCCGACGCGTAGAGGAGGCGGCTCAGGAAGAGGGGCCAGAGCCGGAAGAGGTAGGCCGCCGAGTTGGCCACGCTCAGCAGCGCGACGTCCGCCGACGGCGGCGAGTTCGCGTACGCGCAGAGCGCGGGCCGCCGCCGGAACCGGTCGGCCGCGGCCGCGTCGCCGGCGGCGATTTCCACCACCTCGCCGGACGCGAGCGTGAGGACCAGCGTCGGCGGCCGCGGCGCCGTGCCGTTGGCCCGGAGGCCGAGCACGACGTCGAAGGTGCAGCCCACGTCGATGGCGCCGAAGCCGGCGAGCCAGCCGCAGTCCGCCGCGCCCGCGTCGCCGCAGCGCGCGACGTTGCCGGGCGTCGCCCAGGCCGCGACGTAGGCGGCGTCGTCGGCGATGCGGCCGCCGAGCGCCGCGGTGGCGAGGAGGAGGACCAGGCAGCCCGAGGGCTGCCACATCGTGCGAATATTTTCGCTTGCTCCGACCTCGCTACCTCGCGTCGACGAGGCATCAACGACATCAAGCATGGTTCAAGGGAGACCGAATTCGACGACCCCCATCCGAAACGAAAGTCAGGAGGACTCCTGAGGCAAAAGTAAGGGGGCAGTGTTCGCGCGCGCTCGGCGGCGCGGGCCCGGGGCGGCTCCGCGTCCCGGGAGCCTCGCGCCGCGGCCTCGGGGCCGGGCTCAGGCCGTCGCGAGGCGGAGCGCGGCGGCGCCCGCGCGGGGCGCGCCGCGGAAGATGAAGGCCGACGGTAGTTCGTCGGCCTCGTCGGTCTGGTTCCAGAGGGCGGCCCAGGTCGCGTTCGCGTCGGACGCGAGGAACTCCGGGATCTCCTGGAGGCTCCGGGGCTTCGGGAGCGCGTCCGTCGAGAAGGCGAGGACGAGGAGCACGGCGAGGCACGCGAGGAAGAAGAGGGCGGCGTAGCAGCCGAAGTTCGGCGGCGCCTCCGCGGCGACCGGGGGCGCGTCGATGGCCCCGCCCGCGACTTGCGCGTTGACGAGGCCGTTGATCTCGATTTCGCGCTCGCGCTGGATGAAGTGGGCGCCGTGGAGCACGTGGTAGTCGGCGACGGCGCAACCGGCGTCCTTGAAGGCGCGCCAGAGCGTCTCGCCCGCGGAGACGCCGGCGACGAAGTCGTGGCGGCCGTGCGCGACGACGACGCGCGCGCCGGAGTCGCGGACGGCCGCGAGGTCCGCGGCCGTGACCCTGTGCTTGAAGACGGCGGCGAGGTGGCCGTCCTCGCCGGTCTTGGCGCGCTGGCGGCCCTCGTCGAAGCGTTTCTGGCTGTTGGAGAGGGTGACGTACTCGTCCATGAGGTCGTCGCGGTGCTCGGCGACGTACGCGTCCGTGTAGTGGCAGTCGAGGTCCGCGTCCGCGCGGCGGTGGGCCGTCGACGCCGTCGCGAGCTTGGGCAGCGTGCGGAAGAGCTTGGCCGTGATCGGCGGGATCATGTTGAACCAGCCGCCGAGCGAGCCCGAGAGCAAGGTCAGCGACGCGAGGCGCTTCTCCGCGGCGAGGACGCCGGCGACCTTGCAGGAGATCATGGCGCCGAGGCTGTGGCCGACGACGTGGACGGCCGCGCCCGCGGGCACGACGTCGGCGACGACGGTCAGGACGTCCGCGGCCATGGCCTCGGTCGAGTAGCCGCCGGCCGGCACGTCGCTGTCGCCGATGCCGCGGTTGTCGACGGTGACGGCGCCCGTCGTCGGCGCGAGGGCCGCGACCTGGCGGTCCCACATGCCCCGCGGGGCCGCGACGCCGGCGACGAAGACGACCCACGACGCCGCGGCGTCGCCGTTGTGGACCTCGTAGCCGATCTTGACGCTGCCGTGGAGGTCGTCGGCGCTCTCGCAGTGGCGGAGGGTCGGCATGGTGTGATGTTTTTGAGAGAGGTGCTCGAGATCGGGCGCGTCGATGCGGCGGCGCTTAGAGGCTGAAGGACTCTGCATTGAGGGACGCGTTCGTGGCCCAGTGGGTCTTCGTGGCGAGGGACCAGTTGTCGCGGAGGTTGAGCATCATGGTGGTGGAGGACGGCGCGCGGGGCAGCGCGGAGGGGGTCTGTCTTGGTGTGCTGGGCAGCCGACGCGAATCCTGTTTCCAAGAACTGGTTGTTTTGTCGACGTCGACGACACGGGGCAGCCGTCCGCCAATTCGCCGTGATTGCATATCTAAGGCTCTAAGGCATCCGATGCTGAGGCTGATCGCGCTTTCTGCCACAAGTGTGTTGCGATGGATTGAGTGCTGCCTTGGCTTTGTGCTCTCTTGCTGCTCATAGCATAGCGATGCGACCGTGCACTGTCGCGCTACTGCCAGCGCTGGCGGCCGCTCATAGCATCGCGCGCCTCTCGCGCGCAGCCATCGACGCGTGCCGCGGCCTCGATTGCTGGCCGGAGCCGGAGGACGCTGCGTTGGCGTGCTTCCACGCGATCGCAGCGCTCGACGACGACGACGACGACACGACATGCCCGGTGCCGCCGCAGGGCGAGTTCGCCTTCGCTCCGGACGTCGCGTTCGACGACCGCTTCGCGGTCGCGGAACCGCTCGCCCGCGCCGGCGACGGCGCCGCGATGCAGACGGTCGGCCTGCTGCGCTACTACGGCGTCGGCGGCCCCCCGAAGGACGACCGTGCGAGCGCGCGGTGGCACGCGGCGGCGGCCGCGCGCGGTAACTGCGACGGCCTCGCCGTGCTCGGCGGCTGCGTGCGCCGCGGCGTCGGCGCGGACCGGCTCGAGGACGCGGGCGTGTCCCTCGTCGAGGCCGCCGCGGCGGCGGGCAGCCCCGTGGGCCTCTGCAAGCTGGGCGTCCTCTATACCGACGGCGACTCCGGCCTGCCGCGGGACGCTACCCGTGCCTACGATCTCTTCGATCGGGCCGCGGCGTCCGGCTCCGCGCTCGGCCTCTTCAACCACGGCTGGGCGCTCGTGCACGGCGTCGGCGCGCCCCGCGACGTCGACCGCGGTCTGGCCCAGTGGGCCGCGGCGGCGCGCCTCGCGCCCGACGACGGCGCGGAGGAGGCCTCGTTTTTTCTGTGGGCGGAGCGCGGCCGCATGGACCGGGAGCAGCGCGCGCGGTACCGGCCGGACGCGTGCCTCCGCCTCGCCGCGTCGCTCGGCTTCGAGCACGCTGTGGACGAGCTCGCCGCGGGTACGTAAGATCCGCACGACTGACGCTGTTGTGGCGTAGAACTCATTGACGCTAAGGTGAAGTGATGATGACGAGCTCGCTCGTTGACGCCAAAGTTGAAGGTGAACTCGGAGGCCTTTGACATGGCGTCTCGTCTCATGTGTCCCCAATGACCTGCGAACCATGACATCGAAGCAACGGTGATGGCAGCCGGGTGATGGCAACCGCTAAGCTCCTCACAACACTGCTCGTCGCCGCGACCGCGCAGCGCGACTGCGCCTGCGATCCGTCGCTCGGTCTGGCCTGCGCCGAGGCGCGCATCGCGCCGTGGGAGCGCGACTGGCGCGACCTGCGCTGCGACCTGCGGTGCTGCGCGGAGGCCGCGACGCGCGCCCTGGGCTGGGACGTCGCGGCGAAGGGGCAGGCGGATCCCTACGGCGCCCTCGTCGGCGGGCGGTCGCTGCGGCCGTTCTGCGACGGCGAGCTCGGCTGGGACCGGAAGCGACGGGCCTACGCCTACCGGCCGCTGTCGCCGCCGCCGCCGAATCGCGCCGCCGTCGTCGTCTACTTTCGCGGCATCGGACCCGGCTCCAGGGAGACGCGCGACGCGCGGTCGCCGCTCCTCGCCGCCGAAGCCGCCGCCCGCGCCCTGAACCGGTCCGCGGCTCTGTTGATCGTCGCCGGCGACGCGACGTTCCCGCCGCCGGGCACGGCGCCCGTCGCGGGCGTCGACGTCTGGGCCGCGAACCCGGGCCCCGGCGCGACGGCGCTGCCGCTGGGCGTGAGCGCGGGTCCGAACGCGCGGTACGCGCGCGTCGTCGACGGCCTGCTCGCGGCGCCGGCGCCGAGGCTCGCGGACCGGCCGCGGCGCCTGCTCTGCCGCGGCTACCGCGTCGACGACGCGCGCGCGGCGGCGCTCGCGCGCGTCGGCGAGTTCTTCGAGGGCTGCGGCCCGGGCCGGCTCGACCGCGACGCCTACTTCGCCGCGCTCCGAGAGAGCCGCTTCGTGCTCTGCCCGCGCGGCTTCGGCGACGCGACGTTCCGCTTCTACGAGGCGCTGCTCGCCGGCGCCGTGCCCGTCGTCGACACGGCCGGCGACCAGGGCCTCGCGGCGCTCTACGCGGACTTCCCCGTCGTCGAGCTCGCGTCCTTCGACGAGCTCTCGCCGGCGGTCCTCGACGCCGCGGAGCGCGACCTCGCGGCGCGGCGCCTCGACCTGCGGCGGGCGTTCCTGCCCTACTGGATAGGGAGGATCGCGCGCGACGCGCGGCCGCGCGAACGGCCGCGGCCGCGGCCGAAAGCGCCCCGCGAGCTCACCGCCCGCTAAAGGTCGGCCTGGAGCTCGCGCCCTCAGTAAGAGCAGGTCGGCCTGTCAGTTAAGACCCCCTTACTCGCCCGCGATGCGCCGCGTCTTCGGCGCTGTGAGCTCGACGTCGTCGACGGCGACGGGCGCGTAGTCGGGCGCGGTTTGCGGCGCGCCGGGCTGTAGGAAGAGCTTGAGGTAGGCCAGCACGACCACGAGGGCGAGGCTGTGCCAGGCGAGGATGTAGGCGCCGACGTCGACGCGGCTCGCCGCGGCCGTGAGCGTGAGGCCCGTCTGGCCGCCGAAGAACGTGTAGGCCGCGAAGACGAAACACGCGCCGCTCTCGCGCGGGCTCGCGACCTGGACCCGGAGCCAGGCGGCGAGCGCGACCCAGGCCGCCGTCGCGCCGTGCATCGCGACGCCGAAGTCGTTCGGCTGCTTGTGCGCCCAGATGAACCAGCACCAGGAGAACGCGAACCAGACGTGGGGCGCGCGGCGCAGCTTCTCGCCGCTCGCCGGGTCGAGCCGCGGCGCGAGGAGGAAGCCCGCGCCGCACAGACCGATGACGACGCACATCCACGCGTGGAGGCCGTGCCGCATGTAGTGCATCGCGAAGCCGTCGAGGCCCTTGACGAGCGCGCGGCTCAGCGCCTCGCCGGCGACGTAGGCGAAGGCGACGAAGATGGAGAGCCGGCCCTCGATCGCGCAGCGCTTGCGCCAGGGCCAGTCGTGGCACAGCGCCGTGACGCCGATGGCCGCAATGAAGATCGACGGGCCCAGGTGGCCGGGGAACTGCTCCGCGGTCTGCGGAGAGCGCCAGATGTCCGCGACGTGGCAGACGTAGGTGACGACGGCGACCTGCGCCGCGGCGAGCACCGCGTGGACCTTCGTCGCGGGCGTGAGCCAGGACATCGCAAGCTAAGGACGCTTTGAGCGCCGCGAGGTCCGCGTCGTCGTCCTCGACGTCGTCGCGGGCGTCGAGCACGACCGCTGCGGCAATTCTGACCCCAATCCTCAACCACTTGTGTATCTGCGTGGGAGGCAGCCCAATTCGACGACGCGAGGTACCTCGTCTGTCGTCGGCGGCCACCCTCGTCGACGGCGGCCGCGTCTGGCCCGGAGCGAGGCATGGCGGGCTACGGGTCCAGCGGCGCCGACGTGCCCGCGTGCCGGGACGACGGCGACCTCTTCCAGGCCGCGGCGGACGGCGCGCCCGCCGCGCCCGGCGGCGGCGCGCGGCGGCGGGGGCTCGTCGCGGGCGCCTGCGCGGCGGCCGTCGTGGTCCTCGCGTCGGCGTGGCGCGGGTCCGCGGCGGCGCCCCTCGGGTCGGCGTCCCTGGCCGCCGTCGCCGCGGCGGCGGCGGCGGACGCGGACGACGACCACCCGAACGCCGGCGAGGCTCCCGGCGTCATCATGGCCTACAACGCGTACCAGCTCCGGGGCGACGACTTCGCCGGCGAGGGCTACCCCTTCGTCGCCCGCGGCGCCGTCGTCGAGCCCCACCGGGAGACCGTGCTCTACGCGAAGCACCTCGGCGTCGCCTCCGCGCACGCGTGGACGCTCGCGGGCCCCGGCGGCGAGGCGCTCCTGAAAACGCAGAGCGCCGAGCGCCTCGACGGCGGCGCCGCGGGCGTCCAGCTCGCCCTGCGCCACACCTTCACGCAGCTCGGCGTGCACACCGCGCGGCTCGCCGTGAGCGGCGACGGCGCCGGCGCGCGCGAGCTGTTGGCAACCGGCGTGCCCGGCGTCCACGGCCGGTCGAACTCGAGCCTGCTGACGAACGCGTCGAGCGCCCACAAGGCCTACGAGCGCGAGTTGTTGTCGACTTATGTGAGACGCAACATCTACACGACGTCGCGCGGCGACCGCGACCGGTTCCTCGACAGCTTCGTCAACCTGCAGGCGATGAGCGACGCCGAGGCCCAGACCTGGGGCCCGGACTGCCACCCCTTATCCTACTTCCTGTCCATCCACCTCGAGATGGCCGCGGGCCGCGTCTCCGACAAGTTCCACGACGGCATGGGCTTCCTGACGCAGCACGCGTCGCTGACGAACGAGTTCGAGCTCGCGCTGCAGGCGCTCGACCCGACGGTGACCATCCCCTACTGGGACTACACGCGCGAGGGCGAGGCCGTCTTCGAGGCGGACACGCTCGCCGCCGCCTGGGACACGGAGCTCTGGAACGACACGTGGTTCGGCTCGTCCGGCGGGCCGTTGCACACCGTGACGACGGGGCGCTTCGCGTACCAGGTCATCGGGTCCGCGGGCAACGCGTCGCTGACGTCGAACCCCTACGGCCTCCTGCGCGCGCCCTGGAACGTGAACAAGTCGCCCTTCGTGAGCCGGCTCCACAAGTTCTGCAACTACTCCATGGGCTACTCGATCTGGCCCCGGTGCGAGACGCACTGGAATTTAACCTTCTCCGCGTCCTACGATTCCTTCTACGACTGGATCTGGCAGGCGGGCTACGCGCCCCACGGGCCCGTCCACTACTACATCGGCGGCTACACGAACTGCGGCGACCTATTGGACGAGCTCGAGTACGTCGCGGGCGCGGACTCGCGCGGCGCGATCGAGTCGTTCGCGCGGATGATGGTCGTCCTGCCCAAGCAGCTCTACCGCGCCTTCATGACCAACTCGCCGACTTGCGCCATGGACGTGCCCCAGGAGGAGTGCCACATGATCTGCACGCAGTCCATGAAGAAGCCGGGCATGGTCGACGACTTCATGCGCGTCGTCACCGAGGTCGCGGAGGGCCTCAGCGGCACGGGCATCCCCGTGGACTACAAGTGGCTCCAGACCATGAACGAGTCCCAGGCGGAGCACCTGGCCAACGTCTTCTGCACGACGCCCTTCTCGCCGGGCGAGCAGATCGAGGCCGCGTCGCCCGTCGACGTGTCCTTCTGGCCCATCCACCCGACGGTCGAGCGCCTCCTCCAGTACAAGCGCCTCGTCCACGACTTCACGGACGTGACCTGGAACAACCCCGGCGAGATCGACGGCGAGACGACGTGGTACTGCCAGGAGGGCATCACCGTCTACGCCGCGAACCTCCACGGCGAGACGGACAACTGCAAGGGCCACCACGCGACGGACATGACGCTCTTCAAGAGCCGCGTCAAGACGGAGCAGGGCTTCGACCGCCAGTTCCTCTCCAACATCGAGCTCCTATACGCCATCAGCCCGGAGACGTACCGCATGGGCTACATCTACGACAACTTCAAGTGGGACCACTGCGCCGACAAGGGCTGGGACTTCCCGAAGCCCTCCTGGGTCATCGAGGCCGAGGGCGACGGCGGCGCCTTCTGAGCCCCGCCCCCCCCCCGCCGCGCGTAAGCACCGCGTCCTCTTAGTCCGCGGCCGAGCGCCGCGTCGACGAGCTCCTCCGCGGAGGGCGTGCGCGTAAGCACCGCGTCCTCTTAGTCCGCGGCCGGGCCCCAGTCGCTGTCGCGGCCGAGCGCCGCGTCGACGAGCTCCTCCGCGGAGGGCGTGCGCTGGCGGCTCGAGAGCGGCGGCGGCTTCGGCGGCGCCGAAACCGCCGGGTCCGGCGCGGGCAGGAGTGGCGCGTTGAGGCGCGCCGCGTCGCCGGGCGGCGGCGCGCCGCGAAGCACGCCGGGGAGACATACGGGCGCGAGGCCGCCGAGCGCGAAGGTCGTGAACAAGACGACGGCGAGCGTCATGGCCTTCATCTCCCGGTCGAAGGCCGTGCCGCCGTCCGTCACGACGTCCTTGGGCGGGAGCGACGCCGCGAGGACCCACGAGGTGCAGCCGCGGATGCCGGCGAAGAAGAGCGCCGCGGACGTGGCGAAGACGCCCCGCGATGTCCGCGGCGCGCGCGGGGAAACGCCCGCGGCCCGCGCGCGCGACGCCTTGCGCCGCGCGGCCCAGCGGTCCGCGGCCGCGAACGCCGCGACGAGCGGCACCGTCGACGCGAGGCGCCCGAGGAGCGCGGCGGCGACGGCGAGCGCCGCGAGCTTCGCGTCCCATTTCACGGCGCCGGAGGTCTCGACGACGACGACGCCGAGGTAGCAGAACACGAGCGTCTCGTTGAGGAGCGCGACGGTCCGCGAGAGCTCGCGCGCGGCGCGCTCGCCCTCGCCGCCGAGGAGCGGCAGCGCGAACGCGTCGAGGAGCAGCGCGGCGACGACGAGGCCGAGCACGGACGAGATGTCGAGCGCGAGGCCCACGTAGTAGGGCACGAGGCAGAGGAAGAGGAAGAGCGCCGCGTCCGCCGCGGGCGCGGCGCCGCGGCGCCGGCCGAGGCGCAAGAGCGCGTAGGCGACCGCGGCGGCACCGGCGCCGATGGCGACGGCGAGGACGCTCGAGCGGCAGAAGTCGCCGACGACGCCCGCCCAGGCGCCCGCGCGGCCCCAGACGTCGGCGCCGGGCGCCTCGACCAACCGCTTCGCGAAGGCCGCGTAGAGCTGGAACGACACCGCGTCGTTCAGGATCGACTCGCCGAAGACGCCGATGTAGAGCGCGCTTTTCGGCGAGACGTGGAGCCGGTCCTTGAGGATGGCGAGGATCGCGCACGGGTCCGTGGGGGCGATCAGCGAGCCGAAGGTCAGCGCCTCCGCGGCGCTCCAGCCCGTCGCTCCGGCCACCGCGAGGGCCGTCGCGACCGTGCTCAGCGACGTGCCCACGACGGCGAACGCGACGACGCGCGCCGCGTGGCGCCGGAGCGCGCGCTTGTCGACCTCGAGCGTCGCGTCGAGCAAGATCGGCGGCAGCATGACGAACATGAAGAGATCGTCGCCTACCAAGCACGTCGGTAACGATTTTTCATCGTTTCCCCACCCGAAAACTCTCGAAAATCGTCACGGCCGCAGGACGCTGGTCGTCGCTGAAGCGGATCGAAGCGAAGTCCCCGCCTCCGACGCCGCGGTACGCGCGGAGCGCGAGGCCCAGCGCCGCGCCGCTCAAGATGACCCAGGCGACGTCCGGGAAGACGGCGTCGAGGCGCCAGGCGGCGGAGGCGGCGCGCGCGAGGCTCGCGACGACGACGACGACGACGACGCCGATGAGGTCGGACGCCGTGAGGCCGCCGACGCCCGCGCTCCCGGAGACGGCCGCGCGCGCGCAGCCGAGCCGCTCGTAGGCGCGCCGGCCCTCGTCGCAGCAGCCGTCGCGCGTCGCGGGGCGCTTCGGGCTGCGGCAGATGCCCCTCCGGAAGAGCCAGACGAGGTGGTCGCAGGTCAGCGCCGTCGTGTTGAAATGCTCGCGTAGGTCGCGGCGGCACTTGGCGAACGCGCCTTCTGGTGGGGGCGGCGCGGCGGCTGCTTCGTCCTCGAGAGCGCTTGCGCGCGCGCGCTGCTCCTCGGCGCCCGTCCGTTCCTCATGGGCTGCGGCTCCGACCACGCCCAGCCCGCCCTCCGGCAGCGCCGCCACTTCCACAAAAGCGACGACGAGCAGCCCAAATAGCAGGCGCAGGCCCATCGGATCCTTCCTGGTGCAACTCCACGGCACCTCGCCGTTGTTGCCCTTCTTATTCGAGACGATGCGGCTGCCCATTATAGCGTTGCTCGGGTCCGCGAACGCCTTCGGCAACGTGACGCGGCGCCTCGACGCTTTGCCGCGGCCCGTCGCCGTCGCGGCCGTGGGCCCGGCGCCCAAGGCCGTCATCCTCTTCACGCACCTGCGGCGCTGCGGCGGGAGCTTCGTCGAGGACGCGGTGCTCAAGCCCCACGTCGCCGCGGCGAAGCTGGGCAAGCCCCTCCTGTGCAAGGAGGGCGAGCTCGCGCGCCACGCGCGGCTCGCGCCGGCCGCGCGCGACCGGTTCGCGCGCGACCTCGCGGCCGCGCCGCTCGTCTGGCGCCACTGCCCCTACGGCGTCCACGCGCTCGCGGCGCCGGCGCGGCCCTACGTCTACGTGACCATGCTGCGCCGCCCCTTCGCGCGCCTCGCGTCCTGGTTCGCCTACTGCGACGCCTACTCCAAGGACAAGTGCCACACGGCGCCGTACCGCGCGCGCGGCCCGGGCTCGAGGATGCTCGCGTTCTACGACGCGCGGCGCCGCAAGTACGCGGCCGTGCCGCCGGCGAAGATCGAGGCCGCGCGCAACGCGCCCGTGGCCAAGCTCGCGACCTTCCACCCGAACTGGCTCGAGTACGCGCTCGACGACAACTACGCGACGCGCATGCGCGCGGCCGGGCGGGAAACAAACATAGTCAGCACGACTTCAATATGTTCGCACGGTTTCGACATACGTGCTTCATCGTCTGAAAAGAACCCGCCGAGAGAAAACGATCCGTCCAAAAATCAGCCGAAACGACGTCGATGCGACCGAGCTCGAGAAGTTTTTGCCGGACAGGGCGTTCCACCGGTTGTTTCCGGCCCAGGCTCGCGGGCGGCGCGTTCCACGACCACCCCGTGCCCCTGCCGCCGGCGGCGCTCGACGCCGCGCTGGAACACGCGGCGACGGAGTACGCCTTCGTGGGCACGCTCGAGCGCCAGGCCGAGTCGCTCTGCGTGCTCGGCGCGCTCCTCGGCGCGCGCGTCGCGCCGGCCCGCGGCGACAAGCACAAGGGGCCGACGACGCACACGAAGGCGTCGGACCTCCCCGCGGACTTCGTCGACGCGTTCGCCGCCTACAGGGCAGGACAAGAGAGCGAAATTCCCAACTTCAAAGGCTCCTTTCTCGGCCGTTTTCCACTCGTTTCGGCTGATTTTTGGACGAGCGATCATCTCTCGGAACGGTCTCGAAGCGTGAATGCTTTTCCCGTAACGCGCGCGCGCGGAACACTCACGTTGAAGCGACGTTGAATCACCCTTGTGCTGCCCAGGCCGCGTACGCGAAGCTCGACGACGCGCTCTACGCGCGGGCCGACGAGCTCCTCGCGGCCCACGTCGCGCGCTTCCCCGCGTGCGCGCCCCCCTAGGGTCCGTGTCTATGTGCATGCTACGACGGCGAGACCTCGTCCGCGACGTTGAGGAGCGAGTCGACGCGGATGAGCCGGGACACGTCGAGGCCCCCGCCGTTGAGGCTGTCGTTGAGGCTGCCGCCGCGGAGGCTGTCGTTGAGCGCGCCGCCGCTGAGGCTGTCGTTGAGCACGCTGCCGTTGTTGAGCGCGAGAGGCGCGCCGGGCCGCGCCGGGAAGCGCGGCCGCGCGAGGCCGTCCCGGGCCCTCGGCGTCGGCGGCCGCCGCCGCGCGTGCGCGGGCGACTTGAGCGCGTGGAGCGGGTGGCGCGCGGGCCCCGGCGGTGACGGCCCGGCGGGCGGCGGCGGCTCGGGCGTCGCCGGGCGGCTCGGCTCCGGGGAGCAGGGGCAGGAGCCGCCGTCGTCCCGGCCGTCCGCGGCCTCGACCTGCTCGCGGTCCCGGAGCGCGATCTCCGCCGCCGCGGACCGCGACCGCTCCGAGAGCCTCGCCGCGAGCTCCGCGAGGTTCTCGTGGCTAAAGTCCTTCGAGCGCTGGTAGTCGACGAGCGTCCGCCCCCGGTGCTTGATGCGGCTCTGGCGCTCCGCGAGCGTGCCTATGTGGGAATCAACCACTGGTTTGGGACGTCCCGACCAAACGTTGAAATTCGAAGAGGCTGGTCCGAACGGTTCGATTACGCGCACATTGAATTCGGGTTGAAGATTTGATTTCCACAGAGGAGCGTGCCGAGCGGCTTCTTCTCGCAGACGAGGCCGAGGCCGCGCCGCGACTCGCCGGGGATGGGCGGCGGCTCCTCGCCCTCGTGGTCCCGCGACGCGAGCACGACCTTGACGCTCAGGAGCCGCCGCTGCTGGAGCATGGCCTTGAAGTCCGCCTCCTGCCAGTAGCAGTCGGCCCGAAGCCGCGGCGCGAAGTCGCCGATCGACGGCACCGCGACGACGTCGGGCTCCGCGTCGAAGGCGACGGCCTTCGCCCCCGCCTCGCCCGGCGGCCGCGCCCGCGGCGTCCTCGGCGTCGCCGGCGACCGCGACAGGCGCCGGCACTCGTCGTCGGCGTCGCGCCACTTCTGCACCTCGCTCGGCCGCAGGCCGTCGCCGTAGCGCGACCGGTCGTTGTCGCCGGGCGCCGCCGCCGCCGACGCGCCGCAGCCCATATATGGCCGCGACGGCTCGCCGAGGCGAGCGGTCGCGACTTTGTGACCGCCGAGGGGGGGGAGGTGCACAACGCTTGGTTTGTGCAATTCAACACGGTGACGGCCTCGAAACGGCTTAGCGCATGTCCGGGAGCACTCCTCGAGGCCTCTCGCACCTCGAGACTTAGTTCAATCTAGAAGAGCGTGTGGACGACGCAGTCGAGGGACTTCTGGTGGCAGCCTCGCTTGTGCAGGTAGGCGTTCGCGACGGCGCCGACGGCGAAGCCCGCGAGGATGTAGAAGAGGCCGTGGATGTCGCGAAGGGAGATCTTGGGGAGCTCGTCGACGTCGGCGGCCGCGACCTCGCACGATCGGTCGACGTCGAAATAGTCGACCATGGTCCTGAGGTACTCGGCCTCGTACTTGGCCGCGTCGACGGCCACGGAGACGTTGGCCGCCAATTCCGCGCTCGCGGTGACGAACTCGACGCGGACCCCGGGGAGCGGCAGGTTCAGGAGGAGCCGCTCGTCGCAGCGCCGGAGCGACTGTTGGCCGGCGAAGATCCAGTCGAGCACGACGACGTCGACCTCGCCGGCGTCGAGGCGCCGCTCGCAGGCCGCGATGCTCTCCGTGTAGCTGTAGTCTCGCGCCGGGTCCGTCGTCGCCCGCTTCACGAGCTTCCCCTCCCAGTCGCGCGGGTCGAGGCCGCCCGCGAGGCACCTGCGGCGCGCGGGCGGCCGTCGCCGGCGCCGCGCCGCGCGTTCGGACGCCGCGGGACGCGCGCGTGGCTCTCGCGGAGCTCCGCGAAGTTCCTCGGCCCGACGATCGCGCGGGGCCGCGACGTGAGGAACGCGGCGAGGTTCGCCTGCGCGCGGCGCGCGTCCGCCGCCGCGCGCGCGGCCCGGCGACGCCGGGACCCGCGGTGTACGTCGCCGTCAGGATCAGCGCCGTGAAGAGGAACCCCACGCGAAACCAGCGGCTCGCCGGGCTAAAGGTCACGTACTCCTCGCCGCGGAGGAGGAGCGCGGCCGCGTGGTAGAGGAAGCTGTGGCTCGAGGGCGTCTCCTCGTGCCAGAGCAGGTCCAGCACGTAGAACACGCCCGCGGCGACGACGATCGCGCCGACGATCGCCAGCCAGAGGTTCCGCTCGAAGGGCTGGAAGATCGAGAACGTAGGCCGCGACGTTCGCGTCTCCTTCCGGACCATGGCGCGCCGGTCGACGGTGAGGATCGGCTCCGTCAGGTGAAACCCCGCGGGCCAGCGCAGCCGCTGCGGGCCGTACGCCCACGCGATGTCGATCTCGCCGCGGTCGAGCGCCGCGATGCTCTTCGCCTGCGCGTCGCGAAACGACCCGAGGTCCACGATCTCGACGTCGAAGCCCATCGCGTCGAAGATGAGGTCGGACATGCGCGGCGCGCCGCCGGAGATCGACCGCGTCTCCTCGCTCCATCGCTGATACGGCGGGATCGATTCCGTGAACGTGCCGAGGCGGAGCTGGGAGGCGGCGACGACCGGAAGGAGGATCAGAGCTATTGACTTCGTGAACATCGCTGTCGTCTGCTTTTGGATCGTCAGCGCCTGGCTTTGCGCGCACGGCGAGCTGTCGCTCCTAAAATAATTGCCTTGACGCGTCTCTAAACGTAGGCCTTCGCGCACAGCGCTGTTTGCTCGCAAAATAATTGCCACAAGGAGTCTTGGTTGAAAAGTGCAACAAGGCACGTGCTGCTCGACGCCTCGCAAGCGAGCATGGCCGCCGCGGCCCGGTCGCCCGGCGCCGGTCGCTCGCGCATGGAGGAGTACCTCATGCTCGCCCTCAAAGTCATGATCGCGCTGGTCGTGCTGCACATGGTCGGCTGGGAGATGTCGCA